CCCCCGCCAGCCCCGGCCGGCCCCCCCCCCGCCCCCCCCAGCCCCATGTCCTGCTGCAAACGGCCCCACTGCCGCCACCGTGCCCGTCCCATCCCGCGTCCGCCGCCCTTCGCCTGCACTGCCGCTCCCTGGAAGCCTCTCCCGGGCGCAGCCGGTGTGCGTCGGGGACGGTGACCCTACCCGTGACCGGGTCCCACCGGGGCTGAGGTCCCAGGGGACAGGGAGGCCGGTACCTTGGGGAAGTCCCCCCTGGCGAAGGCCACCAGCAGCGACGTCTTCCCGCAGCCCCCGTCCCCTACGACGACAGCCTTGACCTCGGCCTCGGGGGGGCCCGGGGTCTGCCCCCCGCGTTCCCGCTGCATGGGGGCAGCCAGCAGGGCCACGGAGCCTGCCTGGCCTCGGCGGGGACGGTGACGGTGACAGGGTGGCGGGAGGTAGCCGCCCGGCCCAGGGTGCGGCCACCACCCACCCACCGGGCCCGCCCGCGACGCCGCTCGGGGCTGGGGCACCGCAGGCAGGCAGGGTGCTCACACGCTTACGGGCGTCCTCGCACGCTCATGACGCCTTGCACACGTGTAGCGTCGCTCCCTGCGTGTCCCTGGGACCCTGCCGCAGGCTGCGTGTGCAACGCTCCCTCTCACGCCTGCCCGCACACGCGCACAGCTGCCTGTTGCGTGCACACACGACTCCATCCCGCATGTGCAGCTCCTTTGCACGCACACAGCCGCTCGCACGCCCAGCTGCTCCTTCCACACATCCATGCAGGTTCTCTTGCACACATGTACGTACGCACGCACGCACGCACACTTGCATGGCTCCCTCTCGCCCGCCCGCAGCTCCCTCCTTGCGCACCACCGCACGCTCCCGTGCTTGTGCATGCAAACAGACGTGTGTGCCCCCGGACTGCTGAGTGCCTGCTGCAGGCGGGGGCCCTCCCTGACGCCCCGGCCCCCCCGGGTTTTATTGCCCCGAGCATCAACAGGAGGCAAAGTCCAGGGCGGAGGGAGGCATTGGGGGGTGACTCACAGCTCCAGCCTCCCAGCCAGTGCCACCCCTTCTGTCACACCACGCCTGGTCCTGCTGTGCCGTGCCATGCCGTGCCGTGCTGTGCCATACCCTGTCCCTGGCGCCCAGCCCAGCAGGACCCGGCTGGCGCAGGCAGCCCCTGGCCCACGGTCTTTTCCCGGTGACCCCGACATGCTGGTGGGGAGAGGCTGCAACACCCCGTTTTGCTCGGGGACGTGCCAACCCAGCGCTGTTCTCCGGGGCCCAGACAGTGCCGTGCGTGGACCCCGTGCTGATCACCCCGCATTACCCACAGCGATCCTTGCCCGCCTCCCCTGGGTCGGGGACCCCCATGACCCCGCTCTGGGAGGTGGGAGCTCAGAGGATGCTCGGACATGAGGGACTGGGGACATGGGGTGTTTCTGGGTGGTGGCCGGGCTCAGGGAGCCCTGTGCATGTGTGCCACCTCCCGCCGGCTCCCCCAGCCCTGCTGGCCGCCCAGGTGAGCCAGGCAGGGGTGTTAGCAGTCCTAGCAGCAATTAGCCGGCTTAATGAGCCGAAGAAGCAGCTTTCTGCCCTCACTGGGGGGTGCTTTGCCCGCCGTCCGGCCGTGTGCCCCCACCGGCACAGGGGAGCCCAGCGGCTGGAGGGGACGTGGAGGGCAGCTGCTGCTGCTCTGGGGAGGAAGGAGAGACCATGTCCCCCACATCCCAGCTTGGAGGTCCCCCAAACCCCCTCCCCTCCGGTCAGTGCCCTCCTCTGCCACCCCAAGGCCGCGGCAGGGGTGAACAGCCGCTTCTGGTATAGGGGTGCAGGGAGGGATCATGCGTGCCATTCCCTGCCGTTCCCCCCATCCCTATGGCTGGCTCATCCCCTGCTCTCCTGCCACCGGTCCCACCAGCTCCCTTGGTGGCTACCAGCCCGGCTGGGAGGGCACTGCAGCCCCCAGACCAGCCGGGGCAAGTCTGAATGGATAGCTCGAACACCAAATTCTCAGCCAGGCCCGATGCACGCCAAAGATGCAGGAGACACAGCGGTGATTCGCGTGCCGAGAGGCTGGAAGGCAAATGCACCCAGTAATGAACAATCTCAGAAGGATGCCAGCATCAGGGCAGGGTGGGGGAAGGAGACTGGAGCACAATAAAACAATTAGGAAGGTGGTAATTACCAGTCTAATGGGATATCAGGTTGAATCCTAAAAGCATCAAGATTCTTTCACAGCAAGATGTAGCTGCTGCAGTATTCGTCCTCTGGGGTGTTGTCTTGGAGGGAGCGTTTCGTTTCCTGCAAGATCAACGGAAATTTGACAGGAAAAGAGGCTGAGTGGTACAGCCTGTGTCTCTGAAACTGCCCAATGCTCTCTTATCGCCTGACCCGTGATCGTGCAGAAACGCCCCAAGGAGCAGCTTTATTTGGAGGAGAGATGGGTTGTCCGGGTCTTCTGAGGACGCGGATACCCCAGTTCTCCTCATCCGAGAAGATCGTGGCGAGGACAGCCGGAGGGAGGGAGCGTGCCCTGCTCAGACGCGTGGGCAGTTCGGCCCCAGGCTGCTGCCTGGAAAGGTAGGGGATCGGGAGCGGAGCCTGGCACGGGGAGCTGCGTGTGTCTCCCCGGAGCTCCCCGCAGCCCCTCTCACCGCCCTCCTGTGCATCCTCCCTCCGGGTGCCTGGAGCCCCTCTGACCTCTCCTCCCCACTCACCCTCCCAGCCCAGCACTGGTGAGGAAGCTCACCCTCCCCTCCCGTCACCCCCTGTCCCCAGCCCTGCCGTGCCCCATCACCAGGACCCCTCTCCCTGACACATCCCTTGGGGTCTCACTAACTCCCCCTCTGCTCTGACCGCAGCCGGGGACCACGTCCCACCACCCACCATGGAGCTGAACCAGACATCCCCACCTCCCACATCACCCATGCCAGAGACCGACGGAGATGACCCGTGCAGGATGGACGTCACCGACATGGCCATAGACAGTGTCCAGCTGCTCATCTCCCTCTGCGGGCTGATGGGGAACGGGGCCGTCCTCTGGCTCCTCGGCTGCCGCATCCGGCGGAACCCCCACACCCTCCTCTGTCTCTGATGTACCCGAGGTCGCTTTTCCTGCTCTCGCTCTTCTCCTACAATGTGGGCCTGTACCTCCTGACGGCCATCAGCATCGAGAGGTGCGTGTCCATCCTCTACTCCAGCATCCGCCGCCCCCAGCACTTGTCAGCCGTGGTGTGTGCCCTGCTCTGGGCCCTCTCCATCGCTGTCGTTGCTGCAGTGACTTCTCTGTGCCTGTTGCACGACCATGAGCACTGCCAGATAGCTCTCATCTCCATGTACGTCCTCAACTTCCTCATCTTTGCACCACCCATGGTTATTTCCAATGTGATCCTGTTCGTTAAGGTCTTGTGTGACTCCAAGCGACGTCAACCCAAGAGGCTCTACATCGTTATCTTCCTCACCGTCCTCTTCTTCCTCATCTTCGCTCTTCCCCTCAGCGTCTGGAATTTCCTGCAGCAGTTCAGCTACACTGTCGTGCCCTACCAGGTTGTTTTCCTGCTCGCCTGCATCAACAGCAGCATCAACCCCTTCATCTACTTCTTGGTGGGGAGCTGCCGGAGGCATTGCTCCTTGATGTCCCTCCAGGTTGCCTTCCAGAGGGTTTTTGAAGAGACGGGGATCACCGTGATCTCCAGCTAAGAGGCCGCTGTGGTCACACTGGCCACGCTGCCCACCCCAGCTTCAGGCTCAGCTGCCCACCCTTCCTCCCGGCTGGGCCTGCAGGTCACCTTCCTGTGGCTGTATGTTGGGATGCATCGCATCCCTTATCCCATTGCCATCCCCGTCCCCATCCCCACCCTCATCCCCATCCCCATCCCATCCCATCTCCTCCCCATCCCTATTCCCATCCCCATCCCTTTCCCATCCTATCCCATCCCCATTCCCGTGCTTTTCCCCTTCCCATCCCATCCTCATCCCATTCCCATCCCATCCCCATCCCCATCTTCATCCCCATCCCTTTCCCATCCCATTCCCATCCCATTCCCATCCCTTTCCCATCTTTTCCCATCCCCCTTCTCATCTCCATCTCCGTGCTTTTCCCCTTCCCATCCCCATCCCCTCCCCATCCTCTTCTCCAACACCATCCCATCCCCCTCCTTCATCCCCATCCCTTTCCCATCCCATTCCCATCCCTTTCCCATCCCATCCCATCCCCCTTCCCATCTCCATCTCCGTGCTTTTCCCCTTCCCATCCCATCCTCATCCCATTCCCATCCCATCCCATCCCCATCCCCATCTTCATCCTCATCCCTTTCCCATCCCATCCCCATCCCTTTCCCATCCCCATTCCCATCTCCATCTCCGTGCTTTTCCCCTTCCCATCCCCATCCTTTTCTCCATCCCCATCCCCATCCCCATCCCATCCCATCCCATCCCCATCCCATCCCCATCCTTTTCTCCATCCCCATCCTCATCTTCATCCCCATCCCTTTCCCATCCCCATTCCCA